ACGATTCCATATCAGTGTTTGTTTTTCAAAAAAATTCAAATTTGATGGAGAAAATGCAATTTTAAATACCAACACGCCTATTCCGCTAGTAATTTTGTAACTTGGTTTTCTCCATTTTGGAAGCAGCTAGAATAAAAAAATTTTCACTGTTAAATAGGGCATTGTTTACACTATATATACCGCTATTCAAAACAGAAAATTTCGTACCTACGATTTTTTCAGAAAATGCCGCCTAAATGCCCACCGTGCGAAACTAGCTAAGATTTCCCGATTTATAACATTTAGAGCACCACAGTATCTTAGCTGTAAAACTTAAGTTTCTACTGTACAAAACGATGTGCTTCACAAACATACGACAACCAGTAATGACATTTTTATGCATTTTTCTCAGCGTGATAGTTTTATTGTTATGATAAAAAGATATCTAGTTTTCTGCAGAATTCATTCATGCAGTTTGCTCTAATCCACAACACTCTTCTTGTGCGATATGATCTTTGAATACTGTACAGATGAGGAAGTTTTGAAAATCGGATTACTCTGATACTTTAAATACTATTAATCGAGGAATTTCAGCTAGTTTCGATACTGGATATATAACATTAGGAATTATTGAATTGTGCATCTTTTGATTATAATGTAGAACCTGAAAGCGATTAGTCCCCATGTTTTTTCTCCTGCAGACAGGAAAACAAATAGTAAGTCCATCTGAAAACTCCCATAACTACAATTTTTATGTACTACCCCTAGTGAACTACGGTTCTTAAAAATACTGCTGGTTACCGCGGTATAATTTGAAACCGCTTCGTATATCGATGGTAACTCTAGTCGAAAAACGTTTGTTAATTCTGATAAGAATCTTATCAATTTCTTACGAATTTTTTATATAAGAAGTGGCACGAAAGTGATAAGAAATTCACTGATTCTGGTAAGCGGCTTGTCCAGCTAACTCGAGACTTCGTTGATTAAGTTTTTGAAAAAATTATTTTAGACTAGAACTGAAAGAAGCATATCGCTAGATGCAGTTTTTGGCGCTGATTACGAATCTCACATTATTCTTTTAAAAAAGTTGAAAATTTTGGCACCAAAAATACAGTTTTCCATTTTTAGGAAACTGTATTTTCAATTTCCTCATCTAGACACTTTTCCTAATAAAATGGAAGGTCACACCAATCGATAGAGAATTCGATTCTCTACAAAATGATGTGTTTCTTTAGAAGTTGAGACTCAAAACAAGCTTTTTAATAAAGTTTTAAGTTTTAAGATTCTCACACAATTCTAAGAAAGTGAACACATTTTTTCAGCTTTATTTTCAGGTTAGTCTATTTAGATGCCTAAAACTAAGTCCGAGTCTTTAACCACATACATTCCTTTTTATACTAAAAGTAGAGTATGGTGAGCTGCGTCGAATAGCGCAAGAATGAAATTTCTAGCTCTCACACTTTTTGAGAAAAGCTCAAATTACTGTGTCAAAACTGTCACAGCCTCACTCTTGGACAAGCCGTAAGAAAGGAGAGGGTGGATAAGGTCATTTTTCATCCCTTAATATTTTTCACTAAAAACCATCAATTGCTAGGTTACTCATGATGCTGAACAGAATGGCCTATGTAGTTTTTTGAAATTCAATACTTCGTTTTTTTCGACCTGCGATACCTCTCAGGAAAAGAGAAATATTTTTTTCTTCAATTTTATGATGCTTTTGCTTGATGTACGAATTCTAACTTTTCTCATTTCATTCAATAAAAGTAAGAAAGTTATCTTACTCCGAATAGAAGGCTTCGGGCTTTACATTGTGTATCCGTGCGCAGAGTTGTTAGGGTAGCCTTCAATGTTGAAAGGAGCTTGTATTCAGTCCGTCGAAAATTCTTCACACGATTGGGATCATCAAATTTTAGATCGTAGCAATGCCTTTCAAAAGTATGACCGGATACCGTAGTGTCAGATAAGTAACTCCTTTTTTATCCTAAGAATTTTTTCTATATAAACGTCATTCACAATTCTTCCTACTAATAGAAGAGATAGAAAGAGTCCGATATGTGAAACGCTGAAAACAGCCGAAGACTCTGGGAAAAAACACCTTTTTTACGAACTACAATGTTCATCGCAAACAGATCATTTTGAAGTGTGAAAGCTAGAGAAAATGGGAACCTACCTGAGGCCAAATCTCAACTCTCTCAGTCCATCTTTTCTCTTATAAGAAGACCTCTTCTTTTGTATGCAGAAAACAAAAGGAAAGTAAAGCATACTTCAAAATAGAATGGAATGTCTTTCGATGTTCTAGTGATTAATCAATTTCGACGTTTTAATTTTTATTCGACCGATACCCGGGGTATGCATCTGTCGTACGAGATGTTTTTGTGTTTATCTACTGAAACCACATGACGGACAATGAGATGGACTCAATTATGAATCAATCGCAGGAACATAACGAGGTATGGGAGGAGGTATACTCATTTCTTTCAGCATTTTTTCGACCCACAGGAGCAGCTCTGAGCCAGATCTTCTGGAAGCCATCAGCACGAAAAGTTTGAACAAAATCCTCTCTATTTTACATGGATTAGGCATGCAACAATCCCAAGCCAGGGCTCGCTGATCAGCAACGAACGGTTTGTTACCGAACATGTTCAGTCACCAAACGGTTCGCAACCGAACATGTTCGGTGCCGATCAGCGAGTCCCAGCTTGGGGCTGTGGCATGCCTAGTCTGAACTAAAGACAAATGAGATGAAACTGAAATTTTTGAAGGAACTAACCAACCAGTAATAAAGTAGAAACTAGTGTATAATGTGAGCGAATGTGTGTTCTACCGGATCGCGACCGAACATGTTTGTTTTATTCCAGGAAGTCCAAGGTACCTTTAGTTTCCACTATATCTGATTTACTCTCTAACTAAAGCATACTTTACTAATGTGGCCTCTGTAGCAGATTGATTTACTTGTTTTCATGCAAAAATGCTATTCCTCACTGAACAAATAAAGTAGACGGAAAGTTATAGCCCTAATTCGAATGTATCTTTGTAAGGTTTATGGTACTTTGTCCTAATAGTTTCTCAGCAGAACACTCGCCGATATGTCAGATGAGAAAAATATTAACTATCGTATTTGCAATCTTTGTGCGAACACGTTCGGTCGCATCAAGTTTCCAGGTCGAACACATTCGGTGACCGAACATGTTCGGTAACAAACCGTTCGATGACCGAACTATCGGATTGTTGCATGCCTAATGGATGTAGCGTTCTTTCTAAGTTACTTTTGGTTTATCATGTATAGCCAAACAGTTGCTTTTTTTCGCATAAGAAATTAATTCTGATTTTACCTGTTTCAAGTATAAGCGCAGAAAACATACTACCTTAACTGTGTTTTTTTGCTTTTTAACGTATGTAAACGAGACAGGCATCTTTTTTTCTGTTCTCCTTATTTTAACGTGAGTAATAAACATTTTTTTCATTTTTTTAACATCATTCAATACCTTTTTTGACGTTGACAAAGAACACGTTTTTATTTTATAAAAAAAAAGTTCCTTTTTCGAACGACTACACCTGTTGTATTAAGCGTATTATTTATCACATTCTGACAGTTCGATGTGTATTTCATCATCACATCCGTAGAAAGTCTTCTTTTCAACTTGTGGTTAGCTTTGGTTTTTAGATAATGTCACAGTTAAACTGCTGTGAAGAGCACAATTGTCGAAATGTTCAAAATGCCATCTGTTTACATTGCAACCATCGGTTGTGCACTGATCATATTAAACAACATGGTCAATATCTTCTTGATGATGCTCATCGAACGTGCGACGAACTGAATGAATTAGTTGAATACACCAATGTTCGATCAAAAGATACGGGAAGAGCAACAATAATAGAACAATTGAATGAATGGCGTATTTGAATGATTGACGATGTTGAAAAGCTCTATTTAGAGAAGTTACAATATGTAGAACAACATGACGAGTCAATCAATAACAGATTAGACCAGTTTAAGGAGAACTTAGAAGAGCGTCTACGTCAAATACGTGCACCACTCGAACAAATCTTATTAAAACAAACTACAAACAAAGAAGAATTAAGCCATTTAAAGCAAATGTTAGGTAGTTTGAAAACTGAAATCGATGAATTACAATGGAAAATTGATATATCAGTCAATAAAATTGATCTGAATCAAACAATATTGGTTAAACCAAAAGGAAATAACAAAAATTTGAACAGTGTACAAACTATTAATCCTTCGGATTCTGTACTGTTAAATAATTACGCTTCTCAAAATATCCATTTGTCCTATAGACAAGATCAGTACCCTCAAAATCATCTTCATTATCTATCACCAACGCGGCCAGCTTACATTAATACAGCGCTTCCAATAAAATATAACACAGCAATGAATGGTAGCAATGAGCACAGTATGTATTGTGCTGACTCGCATAATACATATCACGCTTCGAACAACCAAAAAACAAATCTGATCTATCCGCCCTATGTTCCTTCACCTCTAAGGAGTCCATATCCCCAGTCATATTGGAGGTGTCCACCGCCATCCACCAGAGGATTACAAACCGGTAGTGCTTATCAACCACCTAACCCAATGTTAATAAGACCGGAACCTCAGTATCAACAATGCTATCCAACAGTGCCTAGTATGAGCCCATACAACAGTACTAATCAGGCAACTAATAAAGCCTTACCATATATGATGAGTAATATTGATTCGTATGATTCTGTAAGAACAGGGATTAATAATGAAGAGTCAGACAAGAAACAAACTAATCAGTATTCCGTAGCAAGTGATACTTCCGCTGATAGCATCACAACAACGTTGTCAAATCAAAATCAAGCATCTCAACAAAGCATGGAAATTCCACCTGAAATAGCAGCATCTTCAAACAGTAAGTTTCATCAAGTTGCTTCCATGCGGTATTGGCCACTGATATACAACCTTTTCTACAAACTTTAAATTTATCTCAATAGAAAGCCCATAAAATTCTGATCAAGAAAAAGTCTTTTAAAATATTAAAAACAGGTAAGGTAAGGTCATCATTATTGATTTTTGATGCAAATCGAATGATTTTTTGCAGGAAGTTAATAAAACTCAAGGGTACTGTGTTGACTGAGATATTCTTCATTCATGCAAGAGAGTTTCTTCTTCAGATATCTAAAACTCTTCAGCAAAGAAAAATCGCTTGTTTTTCTCAAAGCCTAGTGAGTCTCGTAGGGCTACAGTCTGGTGATCAGAGATGAGCAAGTATGAGTATATACTCGTACATACTCGACTGCGAAATTCTTAGTACTCGTACTCACTCGAGACTTTTTTTTAACGAGTATTCCATAAAGTACTCGAGTACTTGCCAAAAATCAATTTTCTTGGAATCATCGATTTAAAATTTTATGCTTAAGTACTTTTCAGAGAATACTTGTACTTCCACTCGTATTCCACCCACAGTACTCTCTAAAAAAAATCCGTAGCTCACAAAACGAATAGCGGTTTTGGCATTTGCTCCTAATAGAAACCGATATCCGTGTCGTACGATCCTGCGTAACCGTTTCGCAGAATACGCTTCAACGTTTTTTGCCTTGTGAAGAAACGGATTTAGGTTTTGTATCAGAGAAAAAACGTTGAAACGTATTCTGCGAAACGGTTATGCAGGACCGTACGACACGGATATCGGTTTCTATTAGGAGCAAATGCCAAAACCGATATTCGTTTAGTAAGCTACGGATTTTTTTTAGAGAGTACTCGTACTCAGAACTCTGTGTAGTCGCCCATCTCTGCTGTTGAGGCTCATATCTATCGAGGCTCGTGACTCTACCGACTATGTATAGAATGGTCAATATCCCACAGAATCATCCATGGATTATTGCATGATAAGACAACAGTTTTAGCTGCATATGACTTTAAAAAGATAATAGGCGCAGACACTCGGATTCAGCTATAGGTGAAAAGAGCACAATGAAACGAAATTCAAAGGAGTTGCGAACATACTTTAGGACGACAAGGTAATTTTTCTTCAATACACAGAGAATAAGTAAAAAACTTTGGAAGTTCAATGTGTAGAATTTTGTGCTCATAACTCGTCCCTTTTCGTCCAGAATTTAATGTTCGGCTGAACTGCATTGTCGAAAAAAGTTCAGAATATTTGCATCTATCACTGTTTTAAAATCATATGCAACTCGAAATTGTTTTTGTCGGAAAATGTACTATGACATTCATTACAAATGAATTCAACCACTCTTGTTTCTACTTTGTATTCTTTTGATTTAGAGAATCCTCTATCGCTATTATCTAATTCGGATTCGCAAATAAAAGATGTACAAAAAGTGAACCCGTATAGTAAATTGGTGAAGTTATTTGCTGCTACGTCAGCTCAGTCGGAAGGAAAAATTATTCAGTATATGAAAGTAAGCATTTACATGATTGTTTATAATCATTACGTCAAGATAGTTTGTGTCTATTCGTTTTAGCGCATGTTCACATCTGTTACAAGTGGTCATACTAAAATCATCATCTTATCTTATCTTGAAGCTTGGTATACTACATCGGGAAGAGATCTAGCGCAATCTATTGTCGAACTTCGAATGCCGTTATTGAAAAAAATTTTATCAGATAAAGTTGATGAGGAACTTCGAGCAATTCATGCCATTCAAATGTATGTGACAGGTTCATTTTATCAATCAAACCATGTGTTTCATGGATGTCCACATGTATCTGATTTATTATTTCAAATGTTTTATGATCATGGCTGTATAAGACGAGAAGTATTTCTTCACTGGCGTGATCATCCAAATCAGAACGAACTGCCAGAACATTCGCTTGTTGTAGAAAACACGAAACAGTTTTTCAATAATATTAATGTCGATTTTAAGCAGTCATGAAGGCAGTTGATTAGAATATTGCTCTATCTCGACAATGTTGCACACTTTTCAATTTCGAGTACAGCACAATTTTATTTACTTAGTGGAGCTATTTTTTGTCAAAACCACATTGAAAAAAGGTACAGCAATGATATCATACAACGACAGAACCACATCAGATACAATCGTGCAATAAATGTTATTAATAGGAATCTAACAAATAAGAGGATATTTCTTTTCGCATATGCACTGCGGTTACACTACGGAAAATGTTGCAGCATAACCTTAACTATGATCTTCTCGCTTATGCCACGACTCTGTGCGTGACGTAACACCTCCTTTCCGTGAAACAAAGTGAACTTCCACGTTCATCGAAAATTAAGTGCCTCTTGAAGGTCCTTCTGATGTTCAGTGTTCCAGTACTGTCACTATCATTATCATTGAGCAAACATTTCTATTTGAGCACGTTCATTCAGCAAACTGAACTCCAAGATTTGCCGCCATGGTGGTTGTTTTTCACTTGTTTGCATTTTAATATTATCACTATTGGAGTTTTATCAGGTATTCATGAAACTGCCACCAGCATGATTCATTAGACCAATACCACTATTTACCAGCTAAATTAGTTTCAACACTTTTCTAACAACTAAATACATAATTATGTGGATAACTGTGGGTCCGTAAGTAGTTGAAATGACGATGTTGTTTTTGTTTATGGCACCATATACGGTAACAGCCAATCCCAATGTCCAGATGTGTCTTCAATATTTCTAAAACCGAACAAATCACCATCTTATTTTGCATGTCTAAACTTAATTGCCACACGAATAACTGCCACAATTAATTAACATTCGCTGTGTAGATCGAGATTTTCCAACTTTTGACATCCGCTGTTTTACAAGAACTTACCTGACTGTAACAGCGTTGATCCACAAGAAAGAGTGTCAAAAGTTGTACAAGTGGTGCAATTTTCCAGTCTCTAAAACATACCTAAGTAGGACAAAATTACAATTTATAACACCAATTTTGACTCCTTATATTCTGCTGAACCTAACTAGCCATAAATTTACGTAGTTCCGATGTCGAGTTTCTCCAAAGTGGCTGACCACCTGTAAGCTACAAGCTTTTCGTTTTATTTTTGAATAAAGCGAAAAAGAGAGAAAACTTAAAATTGTAGCACAAAACTAACTGTGAAAATGATTTTGCCTTTCATTAGGGTTTGAATTTTTTAGGTACAGTGTAAATTGTTCCGTTTTTATCTGTTTGAAATTAATAAAAGGATAATAACACGAGAAGTTCCAAAAATTGAAAGAATTATCTCAGTTTTTAGCCACTGAAAAAGACATAGAGTGAGCGTAACAGCCTAAGATATCATGAAAAAGAAGTGCAATGTTGCAAGAAGGTAATTTTAATTTAAAACACATTCTCACTAGCACTTTATCGTCAAACACTGTGAAAGGACAGTTTTTCAGACGAAAATTAGGGTTTTAACGATCTAACGTTTGCTGTTCAGGTCAGACTAAGTTAAATATGGTATGGATCGATAGATCTCTTCGAGACCTATCGAATGGTGTATGATATATCCGCTTTTAATGCAACTTCGAGATCATTATGACCTAAAACCTAGAGAACGAAACCTGTCGAGGTTTATCTCAGCCGCTACGCATGTGCTAGTCGGGAAATCTGGGTTCTGGACTCAGAAAACAACCGAGAACAAGATGTATTCTCGGTTGTTTAAAGTCACTTTCATTCTTTCTCACCAATTGTACAATAAAGTTGCAAATGACTCACATTCACGAAAAAATACAGCTATATATATATATCACCGAACATCCGAGAAAAAAATTAGAAAAGGACCTAATGATATCAGAAGTACATCATTAGGTCATGACGTCAGAAGAATAGGAAAGAATATGTCATTTACTACTGGCCGGACTATGACTTCAGTAGAGCAGAGAGGAAGAAAACGCCCATTGGAACTTTTAAAAATAATAAGAAATTAATGCGAACTAATTTAAAAAAGTCTCATATTAAATCAGTGCGCATTAACTTTTTGCTAATTAAAAATCAATTCAAATTAATTTGACTTGATAAATTAATTCGAACTGATTAAAAGCAACATTTGAATTAATTTATCAAGTTAAATTAATTTGAATTGATTTTTAATTAGCAAAAAGTTAATGCGCACTGATTTAATATGAGACTTTTTTAAATTGATTCGCATTAATTTCTAATTATTTCCAAAAGTTCCAATGGGAGATCATTATACACATATGACCTTATAACACAACATATGATGTAAAAAGAAGACCGAAACGACATCAAGGACTACTCAACAATAGCCATTACTATAAATACTCAGTGCGCCGGGAAGAACTCATTTTTGTGTTGGAAAAGTTAAAATGAATAGAGTAACACTCTTTAATCTGATCAATAGATTTATTGATACCATTTGCTAATAAACCTTCTTGTACTTTTTTCAGGCACTCCGATTCCCATGATTTGCCATTTCATTCGATACCTTTTCATCTTCTGATAAATTTAGCAGCAAGTTTGTTTCTTCCTCAGACACCACGAGCTTTCTGCCTTCGTTTTATTCTTGAAGTCAGAACCTCAGCTGAACCCATGGCAGCCAATGTCAACATTGCTGACTCTCTTCCACAAAATAGCTCCAACAATTATGCGTTTATTCGAATACTGCTGAGCTAACTGTCGCAATTCTGCACTTTGCACCGCATGACTGTAAGGGAGATCATAAACAATGTGCCAGTCAGGAAGCTCAGCAAGTGACACATCAAGTCCAACATCTCCACTCAACAAAGTTTTTTTTGGACGCCGCAGCGTTTTGTCCTGCGTACAGACGATCAGAAGCAGGTTTTGTTGATGTAACTTTATATGTCACTTTTCCACTACTCACACGAATCATGGCTCTAGTTGACGATCATTGACCACAATTGTTGCAGTCGGTGTTTCCAGTTCATCTTTCATTTGTGCCAACTGTTGTCGCCACTGATCAAGTGTGGATTCGACATAGTTCTCTTCTTCTTTCAACATTTCCCACTTCTTTCTTTCCGCATTCTCACTCTTGTATATCATCAAGAATATGTACGTAATGTATATCATCTTGAGCAGATCTTGTCAAGATATTTCAAGAATTCTGAAATGGTTAATTTAATACGCAATAATCAGAATCTTCATTAACAGATTTGGAAATTTGAAAGAAAATCTTAAACTTTATTTTCTAGTTTATATTTTCAGTTTTTTCTACTGTATCACTACAGTGCAAGCTTTACGGTACTATGCATACAATACCAGAGCTGTTGAAAGTGCACGAGAAAACCATACATTCAAACACAATGTTTGAAGTTCACTTCAAAATTTTCAATGTTCTGTAGTGCAAGTATTCATGCTGATTCCGAATATGATTACGGGAGCTGCACATAGTGTTTCGAAGATACGGTCTTCTGTAAAACCAGTTTTTCAGAAACTCTAAAAAATAACCAAAATCTTTCTTAACGACACATAATTGTAGTCTGCAAATTTTTGATTAAAATGAGATATCTCGCAACTCTACATGACCTTTCTTTGCAAGGTTATAGAATTTACAAGAAAAGCCCTAAACTAATTTTTTCCTTCGTATTTTTGTAGCTTTAAGCTGACAGTGAACATTCATGGCTTTTCTTGTAAATTCTATAACTGTGCAAAGAAAGGTCGTGTAGAGTTGCGAGATGTCACATTTTAATCAAAAATTTGCAGACTACAATTATGCGTCGTTAAGAAAGATTTTGGTTATTTTTGCAGATTATCAAGATAGTACTGATAAGCTGCATCTAATCAAATATCCCGAGCCTCAGACCCTGCGAAAAAAAACAAAGCGGAGCAAATAGCGATATCATAGTTTACAACTACGTGTGAGGTAAAATAATCTGTCTGGATATATCACAATGAAAATCCGAAAAAATTGTCGAATGCTCTTATGGGTGCTATAGAGTCATCGTTATTTGAGATGAATATAGCTAAAACTATTATCAAGCTAAATCCCCATACTTTATATAACTTGATATAGCGTTTCGACGTTCACAATACATTTTAGTTATCGCAATATACCCGGATAAGCCTATTGACTAAGCGGTTAGTTTTAAATAGTGATTTTTTTCTATAGTTTTACTGCACTTTAAAAGTGAGGTTTTTTCTATGATGCTTTAAATGAGAATAAAAAATACGACTATGCGTAAAGGTGGAATCGACAAGATGAAGTAATCGCCAAATGTGAGAAAATTTTTCAAATTCATACGTCGTTATACGTGTGCAAATGTGAGTCTTGTATTGTGATTGTTAAACCAGAATTCGGTTTCTCTTCTGTCCGTGTGTTATTAAAAAGTTGTTAAATTTTGATAAGGAATCGTCGTTGAATGAAGTGAGAGATTTGAATATCTTAGCTGTGCAGTAAACACATAATACCGATACGATATAAATGTGGTATATACTTGATCTTTCATCCTTCTCGATTGTTTTATTTATATAGTGTACATAACCATAAAATAATTTCTCTCTTCTCGCTATTAATGAATTCTTATGCATACGTATCTTTGGTTATTTGACTCTTTCTCTTTCCATTCATATACATATGATCAATTAATAATGGTCGATATGCGTAGCTTCGAGGATTTAACACGGACAAGACTGATTATGCACGTCAAACATAGGGATGATAAAACTAATTAACAAAACGTTATTATTCAACTCTCAGATATCACTCAAAATTGTATTAACAGACAAATTTGATCATAGTTTACTCGAAAATTTGGGACCAAAAACTAATTTTACTAACTCTATGTCTGTGTTCCATCAACTGTAGAAAAAGGGGTTGCGTCTGTTGTTCTATATTTCAATTCATAGAAAAAGACAGAGAGAGAGAGAGAGTGATTTCACCTTCATACTCTTCTGTTTACAAGGGAGTAAAGAAAAAGAATGAAACCAGTCGGCTATGTGATCAAATATTCGATTGCAGAGTGAGAAGAGACAATAAATATTTTTATACTGACGATAGTATCGGTTTTGAACAGTTTATGTTGACTCTAAAATGTGTACTTGACATTTGACAATTGACTCTGCATAAATCACGTAGAGAGAAGAGAAAATGAATTTATTAATCGCTCAATCTGTCTCGTTCTCATCAACGATGACAAATTTCTCTGCTTAGTAAAGTTTATTTTCGTTACACAATATGTTAAAAATGATAGTCATTTAATTAAAAACCAAGAAAATTACTAAAACACAAATTTAACATTATCATGACCTGTTGTTTATGTGCAAAATATTTTCTGCTGTTCTTTAATTTAATTATTTGGGTAAGAATTAGATATTTTAGATGGACAACATTGTTCGATAAATGCACTTTTTCTTGTACTGTATTATTCACTAGTATAAGGCGGCTATTTAGCATTTCAGAGAAAATACATTTAAAACTGGATGTGCCGTTCTAACGTAGAATCATATGGAGTCATCTGGGGTAATTCCGATCAATGTCAAAAAATTTGTCAGTCTTTTTGCGAATAGCTGAGCCATTTATAACCGACGAAAAACAACTTTTATACAGATAGATGGAGCTGACTTTTGTCTATCGATTGATGTAAAAACTACATTAAGGTTAATTAGTTCTGATCAATTTCCAGTTGTTTTCTATTAAATGACCAAACTTTGGGGTAATTCCGATCAACACAGCCAAAATGGCTGAATGATCCAAAATTAACTTGTTTATTTTGTCATTTAATAGTAAACAACTGGAAATTGATCAAAACTAATTAACCTTAATGTAGTTTTTAAACGTAGTTTTTACATCAGTCGATAGACAAAAGTCAGCTCCATCTATCTGTATAAAAGTTGTTTTTCGCCGGTTATAAATGGCTCAGCTATTCGCAAAAAGACTGACAACTTTTTTTGCCCATGATCAGAATTACCCCAGATGACTCTATCTAATTCGGGGTAATTCTCTAGAGTTTTTAGCAAATTTTATGAAAAGTTTATGAGAAAACCGATAGTCAAAACTATTATATGTTTGGGAAAAACATACCTACGCAGACAAATACAAATGGCGCACATGTGTGTCGGATCAACTAAAGTTAGAAACATATAGAAATATATATATACAAATTATTTTCAGATCAAATTCGTGACGAAATATAGCTTTTTTCGAACGAAAGGGTATTTTACAGTTTTCTTCGACTCAATATATTGTATTTCTAAAAATTCTTTTATTCTAAAACACGTGTTGATTTACTTTCAAAATAAATCCGAACTCTTCAGCGTGAATCCAAAAAGAGGTTTTGGGGAAAATGAACAATGGCATTGATTGTTATTTTAGCAACATTTTCTGAACGTTGATAGATGAAGTCTCGAAAACTTTATTTCAACTAGAATTTGATAGAGTCATCTTTCTTAGATTTTTGTCTAGATCGGTCTTGTACTTACGTGAATCAGTTCTGATATAGGCAAAGGTCGCCACGACCATTCCACATAACTGTGCTATCGGAAAACTGAGTGCGTTACCGTTTTTAGGAACTTCAAAACGTTATAACTGTTTGAGGAAAAGTTGTAGAGAATTGTGCAACCTCCCAATAAAAAGAAGATTCGAAGTTCTTCAAAAGTGGATTTAAGTAAACTCCTGAAAAGTTTTTGTTCGAACGATGCCGTGAAGAAAAGAGAGATCCCTCAACTGAATTATTTTCAAAATAGCACCTTCCGACAATTATCTTGATATATCGTCCGAACGAAAACTTTTCAGGAGTTTACTTAAATCCAGTTTTAAAGAACTTCGAATCTTCTTTTTAATGAGAGGTTGCGCAACTGTTCATGACTTCTCCTCAAAAAGTTATAACGTTTTGAAGTTCCTAAAAACGGTAATGCATTCAGCTTGCCGATAGCAGAGTTATGTGGAATGGCCGTTCGGTACATTTCGTTCAAGTGTTAGATTGTAGACTAATTCTTTTTTATGAAATATGACGTTTTAAAAACTTTTGTATATACCACGGGTCACAACCAAAAGAACAGGAACTTAAATCTACTGTTCGTCCGTTGTTGCTGTCCATATTAAAAGTTCCAGATTAAAGATTAATCTTACGAGGGAACCTCTCGAGGTGATAAAACGCTTTTTGATTGAAATCTAGTGAGTTATAGATTTCGATCAAAAAGCGTTTTATCACCTCGACAGGTTCCCTCGATAGTACATGAATTCAATTGTACTCCATCTGAGTATATGATTGAATAAATTTCAAAATATACTCTGCAGCGAAAACATTCACCTTGAAAACAAGTTATATGAATGAAAAACGAGATTCTTCTAGTTGATTATAATTACAGGAACACTATACGTATCGGAAAACTAAGTAAAACGAAATTGGTAGAATTAACTTTTTTTATTTCATCATATTTTGTAGAGTAAGTTGTTATCTATAAAATAAGTTAGTACATTCCGCGGTATGAATAGAAATAAATGAGCAATAGAATGTCACAACACAGTGATGATCATAGTCGTTTTCATGATATTCTTGAGGAAAAAAGCAAGCTATGTCTTGTAGTAAGTGTAGACCGTCAAATATCGACTAATTTAAAGTCCTTCAATACCACATTTTCTATTCTTAATTGACCAGTATGTAATATCGTATTTGCGCATCTAACTCACTAACAGAAACTCTGACAAAATTTTAAGATATTCAATTGGTTAGAAAGAAAAGTTTTCTACAATTTCACGCTTAAACGAAAGATTTCGATACAACGATGGAGTGTAGTATGACTCAGTCGACTAGTGGGTCGACAACGTACTGCATTCAAATCCAGCAATGGCTGTCAAGTATCAAAATTTGGGTTTAAAAAAAGATAAAGAATGTGTAAAATAAATAAAAAATATCCGACAAATCCTTAAAATTTTGATCATGACAAAGGTAACCGGTCTTTTAACCGAGTTAAAATTCATTATTTTCTATTAAAAGCAATGAGGTGTTCAGAGAAGCGTTTGCCATAGTGTACTTCTAACCTCAAAAAGTATTTACTTGAAGCATTTAAATATTTTCATGAAAAAATCTTATTAAAGATGATAAGTTAAACCCAATAAGTCTGCAGTTGAAAATATCGAGAGTATCGAATTGCAAAATTTCTATAACTGTTACGTTTATTAAATCTTGGCAATATTAATGAGTAATGCCAAGAGATTTTGCAAGTCACTTTACATTTGCTTTTGTTATTTGTACTCATAGCGAAGCATTAAATTAACTTAGGACTTTTTAAAAATTTCTAATTAATCTTATCCATATGTTATTTATTGAAATACAGAAATATTTTATCTTTACTTTCAGTTATCTGGTGGATCATTTTTGAGTGTTGGAATATTATTGCTGTACAGACGTGATTTACACAATATATTAAAATTATTTGCATATGACTCAAAAATTGTACCATCGTTTCAAAATGTTGGCTATGTTCTCATTGGAGTGGGAGCACTTATATTTATTGTGGGTCTACTGGGATGCTGTGGATCAGTCAGAGAATCAAAATTACTTTTAGGATTGGTACGTTGATATCTGATTATTCGTTTAACCATTCGTTAACTGTTAACTATAATCGAGTCTCATAAGCGAATACTTATAAAGAAATAATACTAATAATAATATTACATAAGTGTAGCAGTATGTCTTATGCAACTCTTAAAACAAGTAATAATTATTTTTCTATCGTGTTGCATTTAATCTCCGCTTTGCTTTAGTATATATTTTTCATAATTCTGGTGATGGCTGGTGAATTACTTGTGGGAGTTTATGCTGTATTACTAGGTGAAGAATGGGAAAATCAACTACCATCAGCTTTAAAACGTCGAATATTAACCTACAATTATACACAACCCGCCATGTTTGAATATGATTTAGATATCATACATAAACAAGTAATATCTCCTCATATTGTACGAATAAAACTTTCCAACTAATTAATATTTATCTTATATTTTTTTAGTTGATGTGTTGTGGTATCGATGGTCCCAACGATTTTCATGGCAATATTGATTATCGACTTTATGGAAGACGTTTACCATCATCGTGTTGTACACGATTACAAAATGGTATTTGTAAAGAAATGGATTCGCTTAGATTTGGATGTTATCGAACGATAAACGATCAAATGACAACATATTCACACGGTGTTATCGCTGTGGGGATTGCCATTGCAGTTCTTGAGGTATTTTGTTATAACTAATTTCAACTACGGTGATATATTATCTTAAAGCCGTCTTCCTATCTGATAATATTTGTGAACGATTCACAATACTAGATTAGAATAGAAATCTATGGATTTCGGCATTCGATAGTGCATCTTTTCATAAAAATAAATCTAAGAATCTATTTCCGCGAACATAAGCTTTGGAATGATAGTTGAAAAATTCGTTCGTATTTTTATAGTTTGAAGTAGCGATAGATCGATTTTTATTTAGAAAGATAAAAGCACCAAAAGTTTTCTAAACCATACGAGTCGTCCGCACTCTTCATCTACCATGATTGAGATGTAACATCAAATTTCGTGAGAGAATCAGCACCAGTGTATGATGATCAATAAGAATATCAGAGATCATTAGAACACAGATCATCGACCACACTCAGTCTCATGCCAATGTTTGTTTTCATTAAGAGTTTTAGAACCCTTTTGTTAGAGAAACAACTCATTTTAGTCTATTTTCAAGCGTAGCTAAACAAGCCATTCACTTAATACTGATTGAAAATCATTTCGTTTATTACTAATTTAACTACTCGTGTGTTTTAAGTGTGAGAAGAATCTGTGTTTGTAAGCCTTGAGGCACGACAAATTTGAGAAAATTCCCTTCGATCTTCTCACAGGATGTTCTTGGCACTTAAACAATAAGAACTCGCTCATATCCATCTTCAAATCTATAAGAATCGTATCTTCAGTACGCTGTATTATGCCTGTGCCTTATATGGCACCATTTTCACTACTCAGATGTCTCGTCTTGAGTCCGTTCAATATCTAGTGGTCCATATGGTTACTTGAAACGTTTTTATTCCTGGTCAGAATTTAGTTAGAAGATTGAATCTGCCTTTACTTCAAGTAAGACGAAAATACTTTCGTCTTATACATTTTTTCAAAACCCTTAACCCTCTCCTTTATCTAGACTAAATCTTATCCAGTACGACTGATCTAGAAAAGGATCAAGTCGTCTTAATCATTCGAGAATAGTAGAAACTCAATTTACTAGAACAGAAACCGTTTTACAAACATTTATCTGACAAACAGCCCGATACTGGAATTTAACTCTTCCCGAAACTGTTGTTACATCACCTACAATAAATGCGTTTAAAACAAAGCTCAAGAACTATCTTGAGCTTTAGTCACTTTAAAATAAGGTGGGAAAGTTTATAGGTTTTCAGAACTTTTTTTGCTTTCTCAGTAACATGATTTTGTTTATGTTTACGTAAAGATGTGTATTTGTGTTTCTTTTTTTTCACTATCTATCATCTACTTGTGGTTACTGAAATATAAATCAATCAACCAACGTCAGTAATACCCCTAGAGTGTTTCCGACTTTGAGCTTCCTAATCATGTGAATCATCTAAGTTAGTAGTAAATAGAGTAGTTTTGAGTGACGCCTTTTTCAGTTGTGCTGGGCATTATTTTACCTAAAATTTTTAACTAAAATAAACATTGCCATAAGACAGGGTATCAGCCATCTCAAGATGAAAATTTTTTTTATTGCTTTGTCAAACTAACAATTGACATTTGGCGAAAGTTCACATGCCACTCGCCACTGGCGAAAGTGCGATTGGCGAAGATACGGCTAGCTGATTAATGTATAATAAGAATGACTAACTTTCATCGGTACATCGACAAGAACTGATGTATCGTTACGAGTTAATGGATCTTTTCTAAAAACTTGTTGTACGAATAGATCATGTAGATCACATTTGGTTTAAAATTTATGAACATGGTAATGCTGAATGATTGAGCTTTTAATCGCCTTTTTCATCTGAAACCGATCTTTGACATTAAGAATTCTAAAGTGTTAAATTTAACTTTCATTGAATACATTTCTTCGCATGTTATGTGAGAATAACACTTTTCTATTTCGCACTTTCTTTTAGTTCATGGCATTGATATTAGCCATATGCGTATGTCGAAATACAAACGAAGACGATGATTATGATTAAAAATAAGAGAATATTGAAAGCACAATCACAGAATACTAGTCAAATATTTTATCAACAAGGCCATATGTCAGACACACGAAATTTCATATCAGATAGAAAAAACTACCGTTTCTACAATATAAGCTGTTTTTATTCATTTCTTCTTTCTTTTGAAAAAACTTTTTAATGAACACCTGATCTCTGATGTTTTATTTTATATATGGAATAGATTCTTATTATAACGTTAGACCAGTCCATTTAAAAAACAATTGTTGTTTTCTGTTAACAATATGAACTAGTGAAACTCTTGTATATATTTTGTAGATCCTTCAAACATTGACATTTCAACAATTAATTAAGAAATAATTATTTATCTTATAAGCGAAATTAATTTAATTAAGCGGATTTTCTGAGCGAAGAATCGAGAACTAGTGTTGTTGAACATCTACGAATATAAGGAAGATTTAGTAAATATTTCTCTTGATAATGAGTATAATTCAGTAGGAAGAAAAAGAGATAGGGTGTATGTAATCTTAGATAACATTGTGGCATAAGATCCATTTGTCCTGTGTAAATTCATTCGATACCTACCTTCGATAAGTAGCGTCTAAACCACTGCTCATAATAGAAAACCGGGTGCTCTTTTATTTTGTCTGACAACGCAAAAACTTTAAGGTTGGTCTTCTATTGCGGTCAAATTTTATCGCCTGTTAGTAGTTCAACGATAGAAGCCTATGGTCTTCTAGTTGGCTTCAAGTTATATGATCGACAATGGTCTTCTATTACGTACATCTAGATGCATGTGGAGCTGAATCTAGATAAATAACCCAAAAAATTGGGTCGTTTTTGCTTGGGATGTAACATAAAAAGATAATAATTGTCTACATAAAAGTGTTTTGTTAAACTTGAATCTTATAAGACTGAGTTGTGAGCATGCGATGACAAGCTCACCCAACATATGTCAATTTTTGTATGATATTAATCATCACTGATATTCCTTTATCTAGCGGTGTGCAACCCGAGATATCAGAATGATGGAATCTCTGTTGGCAAGCATATGCATTGCTATTCTTGCTGTAAAGTAGGACAACTCTCACAAAAAATATACATTGAAGGATAACATCGAGTCATTGCACAACTTCAATCATTGTGCAGAATATAGGAAAGAACAGCGAAGTTGATTTTGCAGTTCGTCTGCAAAGATCAAGTTCGTGTGTTCGATCCTAGCTTCGTGCAAGGATTGATTTTGTGATAGTTTAAGTTTCAGAATGATATAATGGAAATTTATGTTCTCGATTTCGTTCTGGTTTAAGATTAAAGCTTAAACCAACCCTCACATGCAGTTCACACAGAAAAAGTGTCATTGCGAACTATAAAAAAAACATTACTATGCTATAAGAAATGATTAAAATATGTTTTCTCTAGGGTTTGACATCTGAAATTCGTTTTGTTTATAACTCTTTGTGTCAGGACTATTTAAACGAAATATGAAAATATTAGATGTTCAATAAGATTATAAAAAGTTGAGATGAGTTTGAAAAGGTTTAGGTTAGCTCTTAGGTTACTCTGCCTGAAACTCTCAGAAACCGTTCCACTAAGGTCTAACTTGATGATTCTTATGCGATTATGCATGCTCTTGATTAAAACCATGTAAGTAATACGCTAGTGGTTTTACGTTCGTTCAACTGCTGCGGTCTTGCGCGTTTCACTAGTAAATTTTTGTACAGACCGCAAACAAACAAAACGGTATGTCAGTTTTTTTTATGCTTAAAGTTTAAAAATGTTTTTTTTTATTGTATCATCCTAGAAAGTCGTGAGACGGTCAATAATAGAAAAAGTTGTTAACTCTCAAAATTTACACTAATTATGAATACAAGGTTTGTTTTTGACGGTAGCTGCATAGGCAAAGTGGAAACAGTAAAGTGGTGTGAGATTTTTCAAAACTAAACCCTGTCACTATCTAGTTTAGCACCTTTTGTATAATTTCTTTCAATTTCAGCATACACAGTAACCTAGCAATTCAAGTTGTTAACTTTTCTGATATATTTACGTAAAAGAAACTTTTCTGTGTATGAGACGAAAAATAATTTTTAATGGCTCACGATTCAGCACGAAAACAACATCATTTTCAAAGACATCAGTGGTATGCTGAGAGTCTTTGTCTGAAAAAATTGGTTTATATACCATTCGAGGAGCTAAAAAATTAAACAAAATCCGATATTTCACTGAACAAGCTCAAATATATTATAAACTTATTTCTAACTCATATCGGTATCGTAGTTTTAGAATCAGTATAAGATTGTTGGTAAGTTTGCTCGTACCTCTTTATGATATGTTATCATTGTTGGTAACTTTTAAAATAGACACATCAGAATCTAGGAGAACTATTTGACTTTAAACTGAAATTTTCAGTACACTTGTGACGGACAAAAGCAATATTTTGCTAACAAACTGGGCGGCGATATGAACTCATGTTTTAACTGGAGACAGTGACACAAGTCTTTATAGAATCGATCGGCTAACAACGTGTGGCTAACATCTGGGCAATGTAACTAGAGAAGTCGATGCTAGCGATGTGCAGGACAGCGATTTGTTGAGTCATGGCCCTACCCTATGAAAATGTTTCGAGGCCTGGCTTTTTCTCTACGTCGTGATCTTAGAGCCCTGGTTCTGCCTTACCAGATGGATTAGGATAACGACAGCCTGCATATATCTGCCGATGCCTCAGAAAGTTTTGTTTGGAAAACATTTGTTAGGATATTCCCTTGACTCTCATAAAAAATTGAGTAATCTAACGAGGGAACCTTCCGAAGTGATAAATCGCTTTTTGATCGACATCTAGCGGGTTATAGCTTATCGATCATGCCGATTCCGAATATGACCATTAGGATTTCCCATAGGGCTTTGAAGATCCAGTCTTCTGGAAAACCAGTTTTTCAGAAACTCTAAAAGTAATCTAAACTTTTCTTAACAATGCAGAATTGTAGCGCGCAAATTTCTGATTAAAATGAAACATCTCCCAGTTCTACACGACCTTTCTTTGCAAAGTTATAGAATTTATAAGTAGAGTCCTAAATTCATTATTTCTGTAACTTTGAGCTGTCGATGAACAATTTAGGGCTCTTCTTATAAATTCTATATCTTTGCAAAGAAAGGTCGTGTAGAGCTGGGAGATGTGTTCCTTGTGTTCCACACAAGTCCTTTCTTACAGCTTTCCCTCACTATTTTAAAATAATAAAAATAATAAAAACTGACAAGATGTAATTAAATCTATCTAATGTTATGTTACGGCATTGCACACTCAATGTTCTGCCATTATTTATTTTTAATGAAACATCACATATAATTAATATTTTACTTAAAAAGAGACTACATCTTATGTTAATAAATCTTTTTCTTTTTTGGTTCTATAAATTATTTTTCCTCTCAATAATGCGTTAAATTATATATTAAAGCAAGACAGATTGATAATTTTGCTTTTCTTTTCTACTTATTCCTACACATGTAACCCTTTGTTTGCCACTACGTTGAGTAAGAATAATGGTTTTATTTGCATTAGTTGTTTTTTTTATTGTTATCAATCATCTAATGTCAAGTATACCTGTTTATCCAGAAATAAATAAAATGAAAAGACAACTGCAAACTCACAACGTCGATCACGTTCTGTTTGATTGGTTGGAGGACGACGATTATGATGATGATTTTGTTTACAATAAAACGCCCGATGCTCAACAGAAAATATCTCGAGATTATTGGTTTAAACGTTTTCAGCAATTATTTCAGCTTAAGCAGAATCATGGAAACACAAAAAAACAGACCAATTAGATATTGTACGCTCGTTTTTTGATTGTATCTCGTTTTTATCCAGCATTTTCCGTAACAAAGATCAAATTAGTTGAACGTCTCTGATTCCGAACCATTTATTCCCGCTGTTTAATGCTTTTCAAAACAGAAAAGTGGTCAATTAAAACAGAAAGATGCACAGTGAATAAACGGGAGGAAGATTACGATTAGGTGAGCAGTAGCTTCCTCAAGTAAGTAACTCATCTCTATTTGTCTCACGCAAACCGCATTTTCCTTTCGTATGGATCTAGTATCCGAAAACCGTCTACAATCTAGAAATATCAAAATATATTTCTTGCTATACACTTATTCATTTTCTTATCAAGTGCGGTACGATGTTAAAAAATCGTGGATAAACGAATACTGAATTACCCAGACTGCATTTACATGAGTGAATAGTGTTCGATAGAGCAATGTCGAGCATCCACGAGTATAATATTTTCCCAACAATTTGCGGTATTTCGCTACGAAAATAGCACTCATGTGTGTCAATAGTACTCATTTGACCCACATTGTGTAGCGGACTGTAAATCTGTTCATCAAGAACGACAATTTTTAGTTTTCATTCTCTAACGAAAAAAAACTTATTGCTTCATTTACCTTTCTTTTTTTTTTTGATATTGAGATTTATTGTTCCCGAAGGTTAACAATTGAAAAAAAAAATAACATAGAAATAACAGATTGGATAATTTTCACTGTCACAGAAAGAAGTTGATTCACAAACCTAGCTCTTTTTATAAATATAAACAAAATGTACATATAAGGAAAATACATGTTTAA